TCTCAAAACCTAGAGTGGATAGCGGAGGAGGGGGGACTGGTGCCATTTTTGGAATCAGCAGGTCAAATGTACTGAGAAACATGTCTAACATTTGAGGCACCAAAAATGTATGTTGGCCAGTGATTTTTTGTGGAAAAAATAAGACTGACCAATAATTATGAAGGACATTTCAGACTCCCAGGTATTGTGTGCTTTTTGTTTTGGTGGCAGATAAAACCCAAATGTCAAATACCACCACTGTTATTCATTCATATGTTTCTCTGTATGAGATCTTTGCCACCTTTTAGCATAAAAAAATTTCTAACTGCAAGACAAATAAGGTTGAACACTGTGAAAACCATCCACTGCATGGCTATCAGCCTCCTCCCAGTAGACTCAAATCAAGGTAAACCTTCATGAGAACCACCACTCTTCTTAAGTGTTCCCCCAGCAACAGCAACAGCATCCCTCTGGGCAGCTAAACCAGGAAATCCCAATTGGATGCCCCCCCCCCCCCATGAGGGTCTTATTCCAGGGGCAAACCAAGAATGGGCAATTTGGAAGTCCTTGAACATACTCAGAACTGGAGTGRGTTGATCAAAAGACAACCTGACAAAATGACACTACCTAAAATAATACTCCACCTTGTGTGACTGTGGAGCAAAAGAGACAACTCCGCATCTGTATGCTTGTCTGCAATGTCCTGCCTCATGTACCGAGGAAGAATTGTTGGAGGCTACAGGCAATACAGTCACTGTTGTCCGTTTTTGGTCAAAAGATATTTAGCCATTTGTGCTCCTTCAATTTTTATCAGTTTTATACTAATTTATGCAATGCTTTTGATATGAAATAAATAAATAAAAGCATAATTAAAAAGCAGGAGAGGGAAAATGTACCAGCACTTTAAGATTAGCTGGCTTTTATTTTTGCATGAACTTTTATGGAAATAAACCCACTTCTTTAGTGGTACCAAGACCTCAGACATAAAGCATATCTGTACAGTTGTGGGATTGGAATAAAATGTAATAGGATTCCACAAAATGCACATCATAACCTTTACCCTAAACACATTTTCTCTATCCTTCTTTCAAAAAAAATAGTTGCATAGGAAACAACCAGGAGAACAGAACACAAAAAAGATTATTGCACTCATTCAGTTTTTAAAATGATATCTTTATAATATACAGAGCAGTTTATATCAATAAATAGTTTGGTTGCCAGGGTCACCAAACTGCTAAGAGCCTTTTTTATGAAAAGCATTTTTAAAATCTGGGGTTGCAAATATTGTCTGTACCCTAGAAGCTATGATCCAACCATGATTTTTATGAATATACAACAATTCACACATTTATCAAAGTTTGTTATTATGCACTTTCAAGGTCATAGAATCATGGAGTTGGAAGAGACCTCATGGGCCATCTAGTCCCACTCCCTGCCAAGAAGTAGGAAAATTGCCTTCAAAGATGTCTCAAAAGTATGGTGACCAAAGTACTCAAGCTTAAAACAGAACTGATATTTTAAAAGAATTAAAATATTTTATTTATACAAAATAGTCAGAATGTATTACTTCTTTGATATGTTCCTGTTCTACAGGTATTTCAGACAAGCAGATTGCAATCGTTGGATTTTTAAAAGCTGAGAGTCAAACTATCTGTATTAGGAGTGTTTTGACATCTGTATAAACATAGCAGTGAGGTGTTTCTTCCTGTGATGTAGAAGTAAATAGAAATAATATTTCACTATGTTCAGTGACCTGTGAAGGAAACCAATACAATGAGAAAGGTTAAAACACTTTGAGATTCATTAGCTTTCTCAAGTAGCATTGCAAGTTCAAAATAGCATTGCTGAATCAGCAATTTCAAGTAAACTAATGCTAGCTTTTATGACTCACAAGGATGAAAAAAAATTTTCAGTTCTCTAAACTAACCTATTTGAACATTTTCATCATTCTTATGGACATTGTGAACTTTCGACCATCCAAAATGGATGTGGCCAATGTAATGAGCCTTAGGACCTCATGAGATGGATATCTTCAAACCGGGGGATCACGCAACATGGCGAATCCGGTGGACAGCAGGGGAAAACTGTTGCCCCGTGCTCCACATCATCCACTGTACCACTTTCCCCATCACATGCGGAAAAGTGTCACCACCCAGCTTCCCTCTGTTCTTCCCAATCAGAACATGAGAAGCCTCCCATGTTCTCTGGGAAGCGTCCTAGCACAGTGCCAGGATACTTCCTATACAGAGCCATGCCGGAAGTAGCCTTAAGTATTGTTATGGCATTTGGCAGGCTCTGTCGAGAAAGCATCCTGGAAGAGTCCTAGGACATTTCCCAAAGTCCATGTGATAAAATGGTAAAAGTATATGTGGTGTTATTTAGCTGTAGTTCCTCCCTAATCCCTCTCTTTTGACTAAAGTAGTTGTAATTTGTTGAGGCACTGTCACTCTGTGTCAGAGAAGATTAAAGGTCTTATAAAATTACAACTCAGTGCTATGAATTCAGAGAAACTGTGGTTTTACAATGTCTTTTGCCTTCTGTGCTGGTGCCTCAACAAACTACAAATCTTGAGATTCCACAGTATTGAGCTAAGGTAAAGAAGTGGTGTCAAAACTGCATTAATTTTACAGTATAGAACAGACATGGGCAAACTTTGGCCCTCCAGGTGTTTTGGACTTCAACTCACATAAAACCCAGCCAGCCTACCAGCTGCTAGGAAATTTGATTTCATATCATTCTATGAAGAGAAACTGAAAGCAGTTTCTCGCAAATCCTTTGGGCATTCAGTGATGCCATTCAGCCTATTTGCATCAGTTTGCCCAAACAAATTGTTGAACACCTCCTCTAAAGACGTGGCCCTGGACAAACCATCCTGACACACACAATTTTCTCTTCAGTTAAGGAATGCAGAATCATCTCTTGTTACCATGATCTTGCAAAAGTCATTGTGCATATGCTGTATTTCTAGCTAGTGAGTGACTGGGAAACAATAGGAATAGAAGATTGCAATTACAAAGAAAGATTGAATGAGCAAGACCTGAGTAGGGCTGTTGTTAATTAGGTACTTGGATTTTCATATATAAGTTTGTCATAAATTGGATTCTGCTTGATAGCAGTTAGCAACCAAGTGAGTGAAAAAGAAATGTTCTTTCCATCCCCAGAGATGCCTTAAACCCTGTTGATTACCAATTCACTAAATGTGATTACTTTTCAGTGATTTTCATCAAGCTTCTTCCGAACTTCAACTTTGTTATAGTTGATATTTTCCAGATATGTTGGATTACATCTCCTAGAGTCTCCAAACAAACATAGCAGCTGTTATCTAGTATATCGAATGCCAGCTTGGGGAAAGCTATTCTATTGGTGTCTTGAAAATCCATTGTTGTTTTCTTGTCTGGGAAGGCATTTATAGCTACTTGGGCATCATTTTATAATCATTGGTGTCCCTAGCCAGTATGTTGTAGTTCATAATCTCATCCTTCACATGGTAAGGTTTAGGGAGTGATACTGCCTCTGGTATCTATTATGCTAAATCACACTCTGGTGGGTTTCAGTTCAGCATCTTCTGATGATTCATACATCCCTTGTGGAATATCTTCCTCGAAAATCTTTTTATGATCTAATAGGGATGTTCCCCAGTGTTGTCAGGATTAATATGTTTTACTTCCTCTTATGTAGGTATGTGCTTATTTGAAGTTCTCTGTTTCGAGAAGTATTTGACTCCTCGCCCTACCTTCCATCTACACCAGTGGTTTCTAACCTTTGGTCCTCCAGTTGTTTTGGACTTCAGCTCCCAGATATCCCTGATGTTAAGAATTGTGGGAGCTGAAGTCCAAAACACCTGGAGGACCAAAGGTTGGGAACCACTGGACTAGACCCTTCCATAAAGGAACTGAAATAATAATACCGCAAAATGTTGTTTAGTTGCAGCTTTTCCTCCTTGTAATATAAAGTATATTACTGATATAAAGTAGATTCTCACTTACCCAACCTTCCCTTGTTCAACATTCTGTCTTATCTGATACTCTTATCGGACATCCCCCTTTTCCTCTAGCATTTCCCCTTCAATTAAAGGAGCGCTCCCCAACTCTCTCTCCATTCCCAATAAATGAAAAAGGCAAGAGGAGGGAGGGGGAGGAGAGAGGAAAGGGGGAAAGAGGCAAGACCAGAAGTGGAAGCATCCTCCCTCCTTCCCTCTTTGATTTCCACGTTCCTCTTCCACATCTGGAAAAGCTGCTGGGCCACTCTAGCCCTAAGGCGTCGCCTTGCCTTAAGCCTTTGAGTCCCTGTTGTTAGTATTCTAGGTGTCTAGCGGCGCAGCAGATGGGTAACAATAGGAGATGTTCTGCTAGCCTGTTTATGTCAGATAAGCAAGACTCTACTATAATATGATACGGAGGACTGATACAGTCCCAGTCCAGCTGGACAGTGGCCCTGGATTCAGCATAGGTGTGCTGAATCCAGGGCTGCTCCATGTCAGATTTGCACCAGACTAATCTACCCAATATAGACAGGACCTTAGTAGCTGATCTAGAATCTTGGCCCATGTATTTCTTTGACTGGGATGTTTTGAACCTGATCACTTAATCTAAGCCCAAACATTGATCTCACTGTTGTGTCTGTGCCTTTTACCCTTATTTTCCCTACAATATTTCTGTGCATTTCCCATAGTACAATCCAAACTGAGGCTACAATACTAAAAAAAACTAGGGAATAACTTTCACTGGCCACCCTTGAGTTACTTTGGAATAAATCTGCATATAACTGTGTTGCACAAGTGTTGCCGTATGTATGACATATGTGCCTCTGTGAGTTCACTGTACAAGTAACTTTGTGAACACAGTACTTTACTATTCAGAAATCACATTTGAGTGTATCATGCTTTTGGGGGGGTTGACTTTCGTGACAAGTAATGATAGAACTAAACAGCTTATTTACTTAATTGGATTTAGCAAGCAAATACATGCAACTACTTACCAGGTATAAAACCAAGTGACCGTCTGTGTTCTTTGTCTGAACAGAACGAAAGCGCCCTTGTGAAGGAAAAGGAGCTCTCGGCGGAGCTTACAAACATCAAAGATGAAGTTGGTAAGTAGGGCACTAAATAAGCATTGTTAAAAATGTCCTTTTCTGCTTACAGATGTTGGTTAAAAAGGTTATTATGTCTTGTTCTTTGACGCCAGACTATCTGCATAGATCTAAAAAAGCATCATCTTAACCCTGCGGCAGGTTTTTATGGCTTGTCGGGGAACAATAATTTTACCTCTTTGTTGTTGCAGAGACAGGTTCATAACCATGCACAGCGGTACTGATCATGCATTATCTTTACCATTCACAGATGGTGATCTGTAAATCTATATTGCTGCATTTTGAATAGCATTTTGTACCTGAGTATGAAACTCAACTCACCCTTAGGTTGATATGACACAATATTCATAGATGTTATTACATATAGGCATAATTGGCTCAGAATTTATCACATGTTCAAAGTCAAATTGGCGCCTTGTGACAACATCCATCATTACGGGGATAGATGTTGGGAATGTGGGACCCATCTTGGCTGATTCCATTATTTTATTTATTTATTTATTTATTTATTTCATTCACTTATACCCCGCCCTTCTCACCCCTAGGGGGACTCAGGGCGGCTTACATAAAGGGCACAATTAGATGCCCAAATCACACAACAAGTAATCCAAAAAATATAAAATTCAGCAGTTAAGTTAAAAACAACAATACATAATAAAACATAATCCTAAAAACAATCTCATGTCAGAGTCCATATGTCAGAGTCCATACATCCGTTCTATTCCATTATCCACTCCATGTTTTGCATTAGAAATAATTACTCTACAATTCAGATGTAAAGCAGCTATAGCAACTGCATATATGCTGTACGTTGTGGCTTGGAGGCTTTTGGGACAACAAAATCTAGCACTGAAAAGCAATGTTTTTATGACCCCAAAAATGTTTTATCACACAAAAGTCTTTTTTTTTAAAAAAGAAATTACAAGGTGCAAAAAAATGAAAATGTGCAAAACTCTCTTCAGCTTATCAATTGAGGAGAAACCATTTGAAATTATTTGTTATTGTATGCTGAAATGAAGTGAGCAAAGATGTATATCCCTTTTGCTGTGGTTCATTAATTCCAGGATCTGGTCCAGAGTGCCTTCCAACTTGGCACCTTCCCTAGACAACATAATTACATGTCGAAACAGGAGATTTAAAGGGGAAATCCTTTTCATTCTTTTTATCCAACCATACTTCCCTTTATTGTTGTAGGTTAGTAGTCTGGTGCATAAGCAGAAGTTGGAAAAGATTCCTTGAGAAAGGCCTCTTTCTTATGGGGAAGAGAGGTTTTTATGTTGGACAGTAGGGTTGCGTGCAGAATTAGTTTCTCCCATCATCATACTCACATCTGACAATGTAACACTCACACCCCAAATCCTACCTTTTCAGATCAGGATTGGCTCAGCCAAACAGTTTACAAGGCTGGCTGTTCAGGGTACTGGGAAATGATGTCTGCCATATTATCTTACTCATGAGAAGCATCACGTATCAGTAGCTGGAGAGACCCCTTGGAGTTCTAGCATACTTAGAGTAAAGGTTTCCCCTGACATTAAGTCTAGTTGTGTCTGACTCTGAGAGGTGGTGCTCATTTCCATTTCTAAGCCAAAGAGCCAGCGTTGTTCATAGACACCTCCAAGGTCATGTGGCCTGCATGACTGCATGGAGCACCCGTACCTTCCCACAGAAGTGGTACCTATTGATCTACTCACATTTGCACATTTTCAAACTGCTATATTGGCAGAAGCTAGGCCTAACAGCAGGATCTTACCCCGCTCCCCAGATTCGAACCGCCAACCTTTTGGTCAGGAAGTTCTAGCATACTTGCTATCAAGGTATTTCCCAAGACGCCAATCTGCAGTGCCTAAGAAACCTTTTGGCTGGGGCACTGCCAGGCTGAAAGCTTTTGGGGATGTCACACTTGTTCATTAACATCTAAAAATGTGAATCCAATCAGTTGTGAGATCGCAATTCTAGCTCACAGTTTTTTAACAGGATGCCAGCAAAGGAATGCTAGATGACTAGTTTAAACCAAAGGCTTTCTTTCAGCTCATGACTGAGTACAATATGACCCTGGCATCTTAGAAGAGTTGATTCTCCTCTTGAGGATAAAGGTCAGGAAACGCAGAAACGCTTGGGCTGCTTGGGTTTGGCCATTGCCCCGTTCCATCCAATAGGAACCGAAGAGACATATCACTTGTGACATTTCACTTTTCCTCCTGTTATCAGGAGAAATGCATTTTGATTGGCCTTTGCCAGTAGGTCAGACAGAAGGGGAAATCACATCAGCTCAGTGCTGGAAAAACATTGTGACGGCAAGTGCTGCGATTTAACCTGGAGTCTCTTGTCAATCTAATAAAATGCCATATTCTGTGAAAGTCACACCCAGCAGACTGCAAGCCAGAAGTGAAATAGCCAAGCAAATGAAATAAATCTCTTGGCACCCACTTTAGAGGATACTGACTGTGTTTTTGTACAGTGATAGTCATTTGGTGGAGTTTCCTGCAACAGCTGAAGTTTCCATATGAGCTTTCGGAATCATGAATTATTTCTTGGCTGGGAGTTTTAATTGCCTCTGTTTCATTAAGCTCTTGAGTAGGACTGTCTTGTTACAACCAGGCACTGGCTCTGGCAGCGAAGCAATGTGGCAAGTCCAGAGTAAACTGCTCTGTTTGTTGTGATTGTTGTTTGGATGGTCTGCAGCAGAGATAGGCAACTCCTTCAGTAATATAGGCTGCACAGTGATTGTATGATGATCCAGAGAGTTGTTTGCATATTTAATTCCACGTGTATAACAGTTTGCATATTATTGCCTTTAATGTAGCAGATGCCAAACTGCAGATGGCAGGTTGACTGCATTTCCATTTAAACCTGTGACCTTAAAAGTGGAAAAAATATGAGCCAGCTCTTGGATAATTACGATGCACAAATGATAAATGACAGGAGCTGGAAAATGTGCTGTTTTGTTTTGCATTGTATGTATGTGTGTTTTAAATTAGAGCCTTTGTTTTCATGCCCTTCATTGCTTCAATGGCAACTTACTTGTTCCTGAGGTCTAGGAGCATGCTTTGCCTTCACATAAAATGTGGGATTCTAAAGGGTTTTTATAAAAGATCTATGCTACTCAAAAGTGCTTGAGAATGCTTTAAAAGTCTTATTCTTAACCAGCTTTCACACAGCTGGTTAACTACCAGCTGCAGTAAATCTTGCCAACCAAAAGGTTGACAGTTCGAAGCCCAGGTCAGGGTGAACTCCTAGCCTTTACCTAGCTTCCTCCTACCAAAAACAGCAATGTGAATAGATAAATAGGTACCACTTATTTATTTATTTATTTATTTACGACATTTATATGCTACCCTTCTCATCCTGAAGGGGACTCAGAATGGCTTATAAGTTATATGTAAATGCAATATATTATATTGTTATCATAGCACAATATTAGTATTATATATTACTATATTGTACTATACCACTATACTCTAATATTATTAGTAATATTACATGTGATATGAAATATATAATTATTATATTGTATTATTATTAGTAGTAGTATTATATTGTATTACGTTATAATATTATTATCAATATTATATGTGTATACAGTATATATGAATACCTCCTCTTAAGTGGGGAGGTATTCAGGCACCCAGAGGGAAATGCCAGAAAAAATGCCGCTGATCCAATCAAAGAGGAAGTTTATGAATAAAGCTCTTTGGCAGGGAAAGTGGAGCAACAGCACCCCTCGTGGCCAGAACCGAGTACAGTCTCCAAGATGCCGAAGATGAGAAAGCCTATATATACCTCTATTTATGTACAGTTGTCTGTCTTCTCAGTGTATAACAGCATTGAATGTTTTCCATATATGTGTTCTGTGATCTGCTCTGAGTCCCCTTCAGGGTATGAAGTGTGGAATATAAATACTGTAAATAAATAAATTATTCTCCACCCCCAATCTTGGAAGCTGGAAAGTGGGAGGAGAAAAGAGAACGCATGCTCATTGAATCACAGCTACCAGATGCTTCACAAGCAATCGTTGGAGTACATATAAGCTTTTATTTGCCAGAATTATTAGTAATGCCTTATGCTTTAGTTTCTCTTAAATATATGTGTCTATGCTGTCAACAACCTGAATTTGAATTGTATATTCGTCTGCAGCCTTGAGCACTTCAAAAACTGATTTCATACTGTTGAAGCCTATATTGTGTCAGCGTCATTCATTAGAAAAGTGGTCAGAAGACAGACTTCTTTACATAATTAATTTAAAGGTTGAGTGGGTTTAAATTATTATGAACCTTACAGAACAGAACTCTAAGAGTGAATGTTGCAAAATTAAATTGTTGTGAAAATTTAACTTCTGTGCAGATCCTGTTGGAACACTTAGTGTTAGCTCTCCTATAAGTGAAAGCTTTGTGTGGTCTTAAAACAGCTTTTCTCAACCTGATTTGGGACTATGAAGAATGGATGTATCAGAAAAGCATGGCTATGTTTCTATAACTATGTACCTGTAGTCAGGTGCATAATGACAGAGTATTTCCCTAGACTTCCTGGGTCCTCCAGTAGTCCTATAAGATTACGTTATCACTGCACATCTGGCTACAGGAACATAATCAGACACTTTCCCAATGTTTCCTGCTCTCCATCAGCCACTAAATGCCCATGGGAGAGAGGGACCCATAGGAGGACATTGAGTTCAGAAAGGGGAAGGGGAGATGTAACTTTAGGATTGAATCATTTTAATCTTAGATTCAAAATCGCATTTAATTATCAGGCTCACTAGAAACCTTGAGCCAGTTACTTAGATGATTTCATTCTAACACTACAATGAAGGAGTAGG